ACAATACCTCGGGCAATGCAGATTTGTTGTGCAAAAAGTAGAGACAAATTTCCTTCTGCAATTACAGCATTGGGGACGTCTTGGTCACATTCAACGTTGATAAAAAGGCTGCTGCGGGGAGGCAGAGTAACAGATTCGGAGGATACACGTAGGGCAGCTTTCGATGAGCGGGCGTTTTCCGGTTCAGGATGAAACAGGTCCTCGAACGACACCTGCAAGTCTCGTAAGTCAATAATTGCGCCGTGTTCGCGAAGAAAGTCCAGCCCCAGGATGAGTGGACGGGAGCACACAGGTAATACGAGGAAAGACCCTGTGAACATCGAAGCACGGACTCGAACACGAGCTGTGCACATTCCAGTTGGCGTGACGAGGTGGCCCCCTGCCGTGCGCAACGGCGGTCCTTGCCATGGCGTAGTTACCTTCCTCAGTTGGGCTGCTAGGGCGCTGCTCATAACCGAATAATCGGCGCCGGTGTCGACGAGGGCAGTGACGACGTGATTATCGACGTGTACGGTAATGTCGGCGGAAACAGTCTTGTGACTTTCGGAAACGACTGGAAAGTCACAACGGTCTTCGTCGGGTCTTTGCGTCGAAGGAGGCTCTTTGACAGTTCGTTGGGACGCGGCTTCACTCCCAGGAGCCGCGGTTTCTAGTTTCCCCTGTGGGGACTCGGTGACCGGCCTCTGAAAGGAGCATAGGATGACGAGGGAATGCTTGGTGACGTGGGGCGGCGAGGTGATGGAGATCGTGATTGGGGGCGTGGACCAAGGCGAGGAGCTTGCTGGCCCGTAAGGTACGCTTCGATGTCGCGGGGACGCTCACCGTAACGCGGGCAACGAGCATCTGGGTGAAAGCCACAGAGACCAAGTTGGCGGTACTGGCAGTTACGGTAGACGTGACCCGCTTCGCCACAGTGGTAGCAGAGTGGACGGTTATCGGACGTACGCCACACGCTGGCCTTTGTGGCGTTCTGCCGCGATCCAGACGGATGATAAGTTGGTGCACTCTGAAACCTTGAAACAAGTGGCGGAGTCGAAGAGGTGCCCTGGAATCGATGGCTAGCCTGATTCATTCTCCCCATGGTGGGATCAGGGCCATGTGGTGCAGGAGATCGCAGAGCCGCCGCATAAGTCAGCACAGGGGCCTCAGGTCTTGTTGGCGCGAGTGGGGTGACCACGTGTCGGATCTCATTTCGGATTAAGTCTGCGAGATCACTTACTGGTGGTTGGGGTCCCGCTGCTTGGAGTTGGCGCAGCTCGTCCCGCACGACGCTTCTTATGAACTCAGCGAGGGCATGCCTCTCGCTGTCAGCCCCGATAAAGCATGCAGCAGGGGTCAGGTCGTGGCGTTCATACTGTGACGACCTATACTGGTGAGTACGCTTCATTGTGGTTGCCTCATTTATGAACTCTGCCACAGTCGTCGGTGGATTGCGCACGAGTCCGGCAAAGAGCTGCTCTTTTACCCCACGCATTAAATGCCGCACCTTCTTTTCCTCGGACATTGCAGGGTCAGCACGCTTGAAGAGTCGAAACATGTCCTCGACAAACATCGAAACTCTTTCGTTGGGTCGTTGGTTCCGAGACGAGATAGCCTGCTCCGCTCTCTCTTTCCTTTCAGTGCTGCGGTACGCATCACGAAACTGTCGGCTGAACTCATGCCACGTCGCAAAGGAACCCTCGTGATTCTCGTACCACGTTTTGGCAGAGTCTTCTAACGCAAAGTAAACTCTCCGCAGCTTGTGAGCTTCATCCCATTCGTTGATGTTGGCAACTCGATTGAAGTGGTCAAGCCAGTCGTCAACATCTTCATAAATGTCTCCATGAAATGAGCGTGGTGTTTGCGGCGCATGAAAAACATGCGGGAGAAAAGAATAGGCGTCGTTGGTTTGACTCGCCTGGTTGTTAGTTGAAGTTGCCATCTCGTCTTGAGAGAGGGGACCGTACTCGGGAGATAGTCCTCGCAGGCGGCGACTGATTCGTGCCGTGGGAGCTGTAGCTGTCTCCAAGTAGCTCGGTGTGTCGGCTGAAAATCTGCAGCCGAGGCGCATTTACCCAGCACCTCCACCAGTGCCACAAACGTAATAACAGAGAGCGACGAAACGACGTCTTGCTTGCCCTCAGACCAGGATGCAAAAGCCCTCTTCTTTCTTCACTTCCCAAGGATTCCACCTACAGTTGATGGCTCATACCCATTACTTGTGACAATATGAAAACTCAAGAAAGACAAAAAGCCGCCCACGCTCAGCACCCAGCTCGTCATGATGCACCGACGTGCGCTTATCTCTCACATGTACTTTGCCCCGTAAATTGTTGGTTGGGGGGGGGGTAGGTGCTTGTGCACGGGCGCGCTTATCCTTCAGTGGGTTGAATCTTGTGCCTTGGTTTTTAACCAGAACAATTGCGTTAGTTCCCTGGGCCACAAAGGTCACTTTGCTGGGTGGACAGGCACCGTTTACAAAAAGAGCGAGTTTTTCGAACGCGACAAAGTAACAACTGGGACAGTTGTTAGTTCCCACTCATCTGTACTTGTGATTACGTTTTGTGCATCGTTTTTGTTTAAACAGTGCGTTAAGCATCGAGCTGTAAGCACTGTTAGTTAGCTCTCGTCCTGTGTGTGTTGTTTTCGTGCAGCATTTGTGAGCAACCTGCTGCATGTTCCGATCTGCTAGTCGTCAGCCTTACATTCTAAGTTATTTAATTGTTGCTATCGCATTCATTGCTTCACCCTTGCGGTGAAACTGTCTTTTTTTTGTCTTCGTGCTCGCAGCATGAGACCCAGCAAAGGTGTGAAGACTATTTTTTTGAGCCAGTGCAGCAGCAGCGAGTTGCCTTCGTTTCTACAAGCGATACGCTCCTGCGATCGCACACACAAGGGCCTGGCAGAGGACGGGTTGCGCTAAACTGCTAAGCCACACAAACTTCCGAGCGGGCACTGTGTAATTTAGATTGTTTGAGATGTTTATAATTCATACGTTTGTGCGGTGAGGTAACGCCGCATTGTCAGTAGCCGTCATCAGGCTTCCGTGAATTTCTATGCAGGCATCAGGTCGCACACACGCCGAAGTCGTAGTAATCACTGCATGATCTACTAAAGTTCTTATCGCAAATGCGCAATATCATGAGTTTCTTCATGCGAACCAATATTCGCGAACATTGAATGTTCGAGGAATATTCGAGTTTGAATGTTCGAAAGTTTCTGACATGTGGTTTTCGAATCGAATACGAATAATACAAATGCAATATTAGACGAATATTCAAAACTTTCCGATTTTCACAAACTTCTATTGGTAAGCCATTCTCTGGTTACGCCACTGCTTGGGCCATGTTCGTGAGTGTGCCATAGAAAGAGTTCGTTTTGAGTTTCTGATGTTTGTGTTGGAATTATTTCTATCAGCGGTGCTCCCACGTGAAGCTGCCATTAGTGTTTGTGACGTGCGGCGGTAGAATATTCCAAAATTTCACGCAAATCAGTTTATAGGACTACATAATCTCTGGCGACTATTGAGAAGAAACCAGTACATATGATATCAGTGAACGGAAATATCTTATTTCCAAAATCGTTTTGTGTGCGGTAGTATTATTGAGTTTTTTTCATGAATATGTTATGTGAGTGCTTGCGACAGTCATATTCATGTGACGTCTCCTGCTAGAGAAAGTGCAGTTCTGTCAAATCATTTAGATAATCCACAGATGCAGGCATAACTTGCACGGTAAAGTGCAATGTAGTTAGTGAATTAAAAACGCCCCTAGTTTCATTTCTCATACTTTGGCACAGACATGCTCTAATTCCGGAGTCTATGCCTAGTTGTGATAACATTAGTACCACTTAGCATACTTTCTTAGCACCCATTTTGTGGTGTACGCGATAAAAGCAACAAACGTCTTCTTCTGCATCACCATGTTCATAATAAATCTTCCGTTCGGACGGGAGTCTGCCTATTCTAAGCTAAATTATGGAAACTTCTTACAGCTTTAAGAACATTAAGTAGTTGTGAGACCTTGCGCCTTGTATATTGAGAAATTTACGTCACGAAATTGATGAATTATCACCAAGGTATCGCTAAAAAGCGTTTACATGACGGGCACAGAAAAAGGCGACAAGCGCCGGCAGGAGTCTGCGAGTCTGTGTCCAGATGTCACATTGCCGCGAACGCAGTGATTCCAGTGTTTGTTCTTGGGTTAATTGCAATTAAAATTCGAACTGCTGAACCTTTGCCCACAACACCAATGTTCCTCTGCGTCCCTTCGGATTTCTAATATGCTTCTCCGCATAGCGCTGCGGGATTGCGGCAAAGCTGACCAGGAATTTGCTATGGCACTGAGTGGGTGTGGCTTTTGTTCATACACTTTCGGACATGTGATCATAAATTTGCCCTATGAGGCATGTGGCGGTCTCATGTAAGCATCCGAATTTTCAATCATGTCTGAAAACATAGCAGTTTTTTCATCCTCATATCTGGTATCTGTTTGTATTCCCATCTGGTATTATAAATTTCTTACAACAGCCTGTCATCCTGAATGTGCATTTTTTTCGTGCAATTATCGATGATCTCATAACAATCATAACAATCATTTTTATAAGTGGGTTTGACTCAATTTGTAAATGGCAGCCTTGTGACATGCGTGTTGAAAGTGCACATTGTCTTTCTAGTTTTCTATACAGTTGACTACTCTTGATTTTTTTGTCCCTCTTTTATTTTGCCTTGCGGCTGTGTCGGCTTCATGCAGACTAGCCATGCATTTCAGAGAGGTTGTCATCTCACACGGCCTCTGATCCACAAGAAGCTGGCGGCCCACTTTGCTTCTGGATGGCCGAGACTGTTCTCGCAGCTTTCATTTTCACCCAAGTTCATCTTAAGCACACCACTGCTGCCTTGGCCAACGTCATGATCACGTCACAGTGTGTGTGAAAGTGTAGGGTCTGGGGGCAGAAAATATAGAAAAACACAGCATGCGCGCCTTTTCGTTTCAACGAAAATAACAAGTTTCGTTTTGCAGGGAGCATGACAAGGGACCCGAGGAGTTCGTGCAAGTGTTGCTCGAGCTGCACTGCCTTGGCATGGCCTTCCATGTGTCTTTCCTCGGACAGGAGTTTGAGAAACTGCCTCGTGAGTTTTGTGCTCTTCTCTCCCGCCACCTTTGAAGTTGTTTGTTAATGTTTTCTATGTGTTGGCCAGTTGTGCAGAGTGCTTGCTATTATTTTACAGTTGCCTAATATGACTTCCTGTCAGATAGTGTCGCTTCGTGCATGCCAGTTTGGGCTATCTGTAGTTAAGCATTGGCCAGTGCTTGTTTGCTTAAGGGTGCTTGTTTGCACGCACTTGGAGGCTCTTTTGTTAGTGCATTTGAAACAAAGACTTTCGTAAAAAAGATAGGCAATGATTGCAGCTGCAGTCTTTGCATGTAATGTTGGTAATTCTGATCCAAAGACAATTGTGAAGGCAACGCCAAATGGCAGAAGCATCTCGTCGGCTCGAAATATTCCTGTTGGGAGACGGAGGCAGAGTGACCTAGAACAGGAGGAGTGTCCAAAGCGCCGCGTGAATACATGAGGGGAGTGACATGACCTCCGAGATGGCGGCCATGCGGCATCTTTCTCTCCAGGCGTCCCAGTCCCCATGCTCCCCAGCCTAACCAACTTGTATTGCCTCGGGTGTCGAGCTACAGTGAGAGGGCACATTCTCTGTGGATTCTTGCGGTTGAAGAGTGCACAAGATTGTAGTGCGCCTATGGCTTTTTTTTTTGCTGCGTACGAGCAAGAATCACCGTCAGAATCATCTGGCTGCACCGAAGGCAAGTAATTTTTTCTGTTACTGCATTTATTTTGGTCTAATTTACGAAGGGAAGCATGGTAACTGCTGAATTTTCCTGATATAGGTCATTGTAAGGAAGTATGAATTACTCTGTGGCAGCAATACTTATTTCATTACAGTCCATTTTGTATCGGTGCTAAATGCATTGATTTGAAAAATATAGAGGCATTCAAGCATTCCTCTGTTTTTAAAAACGTGAATGGGTTAAAAGTGGGCAACTTATTGTTGAGTCATATTGCTTTCCCATTGTGATGGGGTCATGACGTAGACGAAGGGATCAGAGTGGATGTTCTGATGAAACTGATTATTTGGCCCAGCTGCGGCCGGTAAACGGAAAGTCAGAATACAGGAAGTCGCTGGCACTAATAGCGGCAAATAGAGCGTCGGCTGTTGATCAATTTACAAGTGGTGAAGCACGTCGGCATCGCCCAAAAGCATCGTACTGGTGCTTATAAGAGAACATGAGGGAAAATGCATGAACAATAACAACAAAGCAAGAAAGTACAGCAATAGAAAAACAATAACCATTAGTATAGTCCTTAGGTGCGTTAACCCGCTTGTAACGGTTTTGTGTGCACGACATGAATAACCTCAGGTTGGGCACGCCGCCAATGAGAATTAGTGATGCCATCGGGGACAACCTCGCAGCCGAGTGTGCCGAGATGTCGAACTACCCTGTACGGTCCGAAGTACCATCGCAGAAGTTTTCCACTGAGGCCACTCCGGCATATTGGCGTCTAAACCTAAACTTGGTCACCGGACTGGTATCCCACGAAGCTTTGTCGGCGATTGTAACTACAGTGGTCTGTTGTCTGCTGATTCTTGATGCGTAGGCGGGCAAGTTCACGAGCTTATTCAGCGCGCTGAAGGCAGACTGTGACCTCGAGGTTTTCTTCGTTAGCGATGTTTGTCAGCGTGGCTTCAAGCATCGTGAACGGGTTCCTTTCGTAGACCAACTTGTATGATGTCATCTGCATCGTTTCTTGCACTTCTGTTTTGTATGTGAATGTCATATATGGAAGGATGGCATACTACCTCTTGTGTTCGACATTGATGTACATGGCCAACATATCGGCGATTGTCTTGTTTAGCCGCTCACTGAAGCCGTCGGTTTGTGGGTGGTACGATGTTGTCCAGCAGTGGCTTGTCTGCCTGTATGCTAAGATCGCTTAAGTTAACTCAGCAATGAAGGCGGTACCTCTGTCAGTGCTGAAGACTTCTGGTGCTCCATGCTGCAGGACGATGTGTTCAACGAAGAACTTCGCTACCTCGGTGGCACTGCCTCTAGGATGGGCCCTTCCTTGTTTAGGCGTAGTAGGTGAGGTAGTCAATGGCGAAAACGATCTATTGGTTCAAGCAAGTCAACGTAGAAAGTAGTCTCAGTAGGTCTACACCGATTTTTTGGAACAGTAGGTGAGGTGATTTGATCGCCCAAAGGAACCCTGCTGGTATTGTGGGCAGTGTTTTTCGTCGTCGACAGTCTCAGCATGCCTTAACGTAACGAGTGACGTTGACAGCAAGTCATGGCCAGTAGTACTTTTACTGTATTCTTGTGAGCATACAGGAAATGCCGAGATGTCCAGTTGTCGTGTAGGGTCATAATGTAATATTTACAGCACAAACTAATGAGACGCAAAAGAGGAGACAAATCAGCGCAGACTGAAACTTGGTTTATTCATCAAATATAGTAATATAAGCCAGAAAAAGAAGGGAAAATAAAATAAAAATAGTCACAGTTTTGCCGTAAGGGCGAAGCAATGAATGCGATAGCAAACAACTTGGAATGCAACGCTAAGAACGGCTAGCAGATCAAAACGTGTAGCACACTGCTCACACTCAAATGATGCACAAAAAGAATACACACAAGACGAGAGCTAAATAACAATGTTTACAGCTTGATGCCTAATGAGCTGTTTAAACGAAAATGATGCACGAAGCATAATCACAGGTACAGATATGAGTGCAGACTAACGAGTGTCTTAGTTGTTACTTCACTGTGTTTGAAAAGCGTGCTCTTTTCGCGAATGGGGTCTGTCCAGTGAGCGAAGTGATGTTTGTGCGCCCGGCAACTAAACGTGATCTTTCCGATGAAAGGCCAGGGCACACGATTCTCCCTACCAAAAGGTAAACGCAGGTGCACAAGCACCTACACCCCCAACTCCACCCCCTTTCGTGGGGCAAACTACACATGGGAAATAAGCGCGCGTTGGCACATCGCGATGAGCGGGGTGCTGAGCGCGGGCGGCTTTTTTCTTTTCTTGAGTTTTCATATATATAGATACGTATACATATAAGTTGCATGACGGTGGCGGCGGCAAAAACCAGCTGAGACTGTCTATATAATTGCTACCGAAATAAAAGAGGGAAGGTTCCGCCGCGATCAAGTGTCGACCAGAAACCAGATTTCACAATCTAGAAGGGATATAGACGGTGAGCTGCCACAAGTATCAATGTTCTTCTTTATAAAAAAAGGCTTCTGCTATCTTCCTAGTTATTGTGTTACGATAGGTGTATGAAACAGACATGCGTGAAAATTCAGGTATGCAGTCGTACTAAGTGCAATGAGCAGACAAATGTTAAACCGGCGCCAATTTCAGCGCATTATAGTGTTCTCGCAGGCAACATTTAGGTTGCACCCAGTCTGCTCGATGTATACCCTGCCAAAAGGCTGAAAGCTAGGCCAGTTGGTGACAAAACTTGAACTGTAGTGACAAATACGGGCTCTGCTATAAAAATGATGAAGAAGACGTTTGTTGTGGTGAAGGCTCGTGCTGCTGCAGCTGCTGCTGAAACCGCTGGCTGCTGTCTCGCTGCTGTTAGGCCCATTAAACAGTTGCTTCACCCCGGCGTGGTGTCTAACAGTATTCTTACATTTGGTGGAGAGTGCTGGTTGTCTCAAACTGGAACTCTGTTCCCGGACTCTACCTCAACCCTTCGCCTCGCCAATGCCTGACGATATGACCCAGCCACCTGCAGTCATAATCCCATCTGTCACCTGTTCCGGAATGCCACGACCGCGAGACCTAGTGATTTTCAACGCGACCGACAACCAAGACGCCGAAGACTGGCTGTCCCAGTATAAAGCGGTAAGCGCCTACATTAAGCTGGATGACACAGACAAGCTCGCTTACTTTAATTTTTATCTCGCGGGTGTGGCAGAATGGTGGTTTAACAACCACAAAGTGGAAATACCCTCTTGGTCAACCTTCAATACGCGCTTTGCAGAAGTCTTCGGCCGACCCGCTATTCGCAAGCTCCATGTCGGACAGCGCTTGCGATGCCACGCACAGCGCTCTGGCCAGACCTTTACCTCGTATATTGAAGATGTTCTGGACCTCTGCCGTCGTATCGATTCCGACATGTCTGACATTGGCAAATACGGCACATCATGAAAGGTATCAAGAACGATGCCTTTCACATGCTCCTTGCAAAAAACCCACAAATCGTCTCCCAGCTTATTCAGCTCTGTCAGAGTTTCGACGAGCTGCGGAGAGAGCACATTTCTACTCGACGTCCAAACCTCGACACGACCTCTACATCTGCGTTCACCATTAGCGCTGTTTCCTACAAACAAACCGCGTTAATGCAGCAAATTCAGCAGTTCGTCCGAGAAGTGTCGCGCCAGTTGTCTCTTGTGCCGTACGTCCCGACCAGTGCGCGCACGCTGACCCCAATGCTCCGCAAAGCAATTGAAGAGCAAGTTTCCCCTGTCTCCCACATACCATCCTTCGCCTATCTCCGCCCCTTTCACTTATGCTGAGGCCGCCAGATGATCGCCGCCGTCGCTACCAACTGTCACGGATCTTGCTAGACAGCCCCGTCTTCTCTACGCAGCAAGTCCACCTATCCGTCCCCAGCCACGTCCTGTTCGCCACCCCTCATCACCATCAACCAACCCTTGGCGCACTCCGGACAACAGGCCAATTTGCTATTTCTGCCATCTTCCCGGTCATGTAGCACGTTACTGCCGTCCTCAGGATTACAACCCGACTGCTGGTGAGGCGACTTATGACTCCTATCGCCCAGAGCCACTGCAGTCGTCTTCGTTCCCCCCCACGTTGGCTCAGTTGCCGCAGCTTCGACAGGGATCGGTCGCCCTCACCACAGCGCCACTTTATTTCTTCGGTGCTTCTTCGATCTCCACACGCCCAAACGGAAAACTGACCATCGCAGTTCCAGAGCCAAGAGCTGCGCATATATCGAAACCTTCAAGGCCTCCACTTTTACCTGCTAATGAAATAACTGTGCATATTGATGGTGTACCGGCGAAAGCACTCGTTGATACTGGCGCTGCC